AGCCTGGGCACGGTACGAATAGCATAGTGTGAGTACGCCCTTAATTTTGAAATATCATTTCTCAAAACAAGACAATACTCCTTTACGTGTCTAGAAAATGCTTCTTGGTTTAAAAAGTTTTAGATTTTTGGTCTAGAAACAAGACAAAATAAGTAAGAAGAGAATTATTGCAGTGTATTCTTAGTAAAATTATAAACCAAATAAAAAAGAGAGCTCCTGATGAACATTTGAAGGGATACCTTCCACCAAAAAGGAAAAATACCTCATCATATATTCTCCCTTATGTGGTTTTAAACATATGCACCAAATCTGCCTTTTTGTTCAGCTTTTCACCTCACATCTGAGCCGTTTTATGGAAAGCAGAGCCTCTTTTATTTATAATGTTATCCAGGAACCCCCTTTTCCTGTGCACCCACAATACACAGCGCCCCAGGTTTGGAGGAGGAACAGGAGGCTTGTGCGCACTCCTGCATGAAGCCTGTCTGTTGTTCACCTTTGCTTTGATTTCATGCTCATTATCTCACCATGAAGCCGGTGACCCCAGACAACAAGGCCAGTACCTGAGGGAACAATGCTGAGTCTTCAGGATTTGGGTGTCCACTGAGAAGGCTTTCAGGAGTGCTTTTCTCCACCCCCGACTTCAGACACAGTCACTGGTTGGAAAGAAAAGAGGGATACGGTGAAGCCCAATTTTCTGCAGATTAAATCAAATTAGCACAAGAGAGCTCCTGAGAGAGTGGACTTCAGGGGTGAGGGGGTGATTGCTCTTACTTTGGCCCACCCTTTCCTATCCATCGCTTTCACTTGCCGTCCGCTGCACAGCTGTTGAATGCTCAGACGGGCCCTTCCTGGAACAGGACCTCATCCACACCCTTTAGTAATGCCCTTAAGGCAATGGCGAAGAGCAGGTGGCAAGTAGAAAGAGCTGGTCAGGACGGTCACCAACAGCTGCCGGACACAAACCAATGGAATCAAAGGTACAACTTTGAAAAGTATCACGTAACTTATTTCCGCTCTGAATCACTTTGTAGTCAGACATTTGTTTTGAACAAGTGAAAAGGAAAAAAAAAAAAAAAAGATACTCACCACCATCTGCAAGTATCCAAAATGTGCGGTTCCTGTTTGACTGATGAAGACGCAATGTTTGCATTGCATCTGTGGATAATTGACTGTATTTATCTGAATCGATTACATTACACAGTTTACAAACAACTGGTCTTCATGTTGGAGATGTTCTATATTGTTTTTAGATTGGGAGAAGAGTAGCTTAGACAGAGACAGCTCAATGCATGTACTGTACAACTGTCAATACAATCTGCAGAAGTTCAAACAGCTCAAAAAAATGCTGGGTTATTTCAACCCAATTCTGGGTGTAATGTGAACTAAACCAACTCTAGAGCATTAATATGGGAAAGAAATTGGGCTGATCTGTATTTCATAAACTGCTGTTACTGGGATTTTCATTTTCAACTATACTTAATGTTTACAGAAAAAAGTCTGAAAGAGAAAAATATCCGGCAACTGGAAATCATGTGGCCGGAAATGTCTTGTTGATAACAGGGGCCAGATGAGAAAGGCCAGTCTAGGTTAAGCAAATAGAAAGGCACAGCCTGATCTCACAAGGAAACGTAACTATTTTAAGTTTTGTCCATTTAAATACGAGTTCAGTCATACGAAAGGAGGAATGGCACCCAACACCACCCTGAAACACAACTGCCATTGGGGGATCAGCAAATCAGTAAATTATACGAAAGAGATTGTATAAATTCATAAGAATTAGCCACTAAATTAAACATTTACGAATTGCTGTGAGATTGTGTTGGAAGGCAACAAAAACTAAAATAACGAATATACAGTCAAGGGATACAAAAAAGTATATCTGGATGTAAATAAATCAGCTGAATGTGAACTTGCAGCCAATTATAAAAAGGGAGCAGTATTAACAGTAAAGTTTACTCCAAATAAAGAGAGAGGGGTCTGGATGCAGACCTGGTGCAGTGCAATCTGAGCTGCATCCAATGCTTTTTAATGGGCTCACCTGACCCCACCCCTAACCCTACCCCTCACAGTGACGTCACTCGCTCCATTTGAGTCCATTGTGTCTGACATTGCATCGCTAAGTGATGCATTCTCAGCTTGCATTATAAAGGCTGCATCTAGATACTATTGAAAAAAGGTCTCATTCAGGGGCTGATCACATTGAATGAAAGGTGTTTTTTAAATGGTTTTCTAACTCTCGCATGATCGCCCACTGAAGCTATGCAGGGCTGCGCCGGGTCAGTACCTGGATGGGAGAGTCCACAGGGGAAAAGCTAGGTTGCTGACAGAAGTAATATTAGTGAGGCCAGCAGGGGGCGCTCAACCTGCGATATGTGTGGGTCCTAATGCCCTAGTAGTGACGGCGACTCTATACTGCTCAGTAAGCGGCGTCTTTCAGATGAGACGTTAAACTGAGGTCTGGCTCTCTGTGGCCTTCGAAAAAGGGTAGGGGTTTCACACCGGCATCCTGACCAAATTTGCCCTCTGTTCTCGGTCCATCATGGCCTCCTAACCCTCACCATATCATAATTGGCTTCATAACTCTGTCTCCTCTCCACCAATCAGCTGGTATGCGTTGTGTGTGATCCGGCGCAAAATGGCTGCCGTCGCGTCATCCAGGTGGATGCTGCACACTGGTGGTAGATGAGGAGATTCTCCCCTATGTGTAAAGCGCTTTGAGTGCCCAGAAAAGCGCTATATAAAATGTAAGGAATTATTATTATTATTATTATTATTAATGACTGCATGATGCTCGCTGCTTATGTGCCCTCTTTTTGACGTTGCACTCTGTCTGCACTCTTGAGTAGAAAAGCGTGCCTCTTTTTTCATTGTCCAATCAACTGAAAGCAGAGGAGGGGTTTCCGTTGAGGTGACAGCTGTGTTTGTGCTTGTATCAAGAGAACTATGGAGATGGTACACCCCTCTAACTCTCTATCAATGACAGAGTAAGTGCTCTCTGTCTGTCAATTCTCTATTGTTTTGCCGTTTCTGGTAATATTGCAGTTATAACAATATAAACAGCAGCACTCATGCACAATAAGTAGCTGATTCAGTGGTTGCGTAGTGACATAAAAAGCACATCACACTCCTTTTTTTCTTGTTTCTCGTGTTTTTAAAACCTTTAGGAGTTTCTCACCTTAAAGACAGAAGATATTTTGAAAAATTCTGGCTGCTGTCATCTATTGACTTTCATAGCGGTAAAAAAAAAAAGATTATGGCCGTTGATGGGTGCCTGCAACCAGCATCAAAATATCTTCTTTTGCATTCAACAGAAGAAACTCAAATAGGTTTTGAGGGAAGGGTGAGTAAATTATGACAGAGCGTTCGTTTTCTGGTTAACCGCCTCTTTAAGCGGGCTACTTGGGTGCTCCAGCATACCATCAACATCAACAATCTGTCATTTCCATAGAAGAATTAAGCAAATGCATTCATTCATTAATTTTCTTGTCGGCTTATTCCCTTTATTAATCCGGGGTCGTCACAGCGAAATGTACCGCCAATTTATCCAGCACGTTTTTACAAAGCGGATGCCCTTCCAGCCGTAACCCATCTCTGGGAAACATCCACACACACTCACTTTATGGACAATTTAGCCTAGCCAATTCACAGAGCACCTGGAGGAAACCCACACGAACGCAGGGAGAACATGCAAACTTCACACAGAAACGCCAACGGAGCCAAGGTTCGAACCAGTGACCCAGCGACCTTCTTGCTGTGAGGCAACAGCACTACCTACTGCGCCACTGCGTCGCCTTAAGCAAATGCAAATAAATAAATTAACAGATAAATGAAGGAAAACATACACAATATGATGCATTTAGAAAAAGTGTGAATGTTCTATGCTTAAATGTATAGCCTACTTTAAGCCATTGCTTATTTCAAAATACATTAAAATCAAAGACAAAATCTAACCATATGCAACTCTTGGAAAACTCAACACTAAAATTTCATGTGCTATTTTTATAAAAACAGAACCTCAACATGTTTAGTTGATAAACATCATTTGTTTAAAAGAGACAGCTTCACTCCAACTTTACGCTCAACAGTAACAAACCCCATCTCACAATTATCTTTCCACATTTCCCTAATAAGAATCAGCTAAATACAAAGAGACACAAAAAATACCATTGTTCTGTCAGAGATGTAAACAGTTTCTTCAAAGATCTTCTTTACTCAAAGTGTGTGGTAAATCTAATTTATTTTATGTCTCTCCAAATCCAGCAGAACGTGTTTACACTCCTTGTCAGCATCTCTCATTAATTAGGTGAAAGACACAGTGTTTGCATATACATGTACACAGAACTGGCTATGAACTGTCTGAAATAATCAGACTCTTTAAAATAATGTAGAACTATCCCTTCAAAATGTAAAGATTCATAAACAGTTCAATACATATTGATTAATTACATGCCACCATGAAAGGATCTGCAAGACATTTTAGCTTGTACGCCACTGCCCCCTAGCATCAAAACACATTCAAGCATAACAAAAGGCCACAGCAAGGTACTAATTACCTCAAACCACAGTTTGCAGATTAAATGCAACACTAGGTATTCAATTCTACATATATATTCTTATAGTAAAAGTAATAAACACAAAATGACTGATAGCTCCTTATAAAAACTGAAGCTGTGCTGGAACATTGTCTACCTGGTGATTAAGACTGAAGTGATGCATATTATTTAATTTTATGTATGAAAGTTATTATACATATATTATTTTTACAGAATTTTAAATATTAAAACTGACACTTTAGGTCTTTAAATTACATTTCATTATTCAGACCCTTCTCATTGGTCAGATCAGATGCATACTCAAAGTTAGCTTTAAAGCAGTGTTTCCCAAGGCTGTTCCTGAAGGCACACCAGCAGTACACATTTCCAACCTCTTCCTAATTAAACACACCTGAATCAACTCAGAACATCAGAAGAGACTACAATACATAAAAATGAATAAGTCAGATAAGGGAGACATCCAAAATATGTACTGTTGGTGTGCCTCCAGAAATAGGGGTGGGAAACACTGCTTTAAGGATGACAATGGCTGTAATTCCAAACATCTTCACCTTTTGTCCTCACTGCCATTTTTGCAAACCTGCTGCTGTCTGGTACACTCTTGAAGGAAAGCCTCCATTTGTGTATCTGTCCTCAACTGAAAGACTTCAGACCTCTTGTAGGGGTCTAATTGGATGTGACGTAAACTGGACTTGGTGGTCATTTCCAAATCTTCATGGCAATGTTTGGGCATGGAAGTTTGCCTCACAAGCAATCCCTGTGGCGTTTTGTCATCTTCAAGACAAGTTACATTAAGGGGGTCGATCTTATTTACTTTCAGTGATCTCTGCGATTGTTTGGAAGTAGAGTGTGCCTGTAAGGAGCTCTGAGGGTTGAGGTCAACACTGTGCATTGTGAATGGTGTATTGGTTTCTGATGGTTTTTTGGTGCTGGTTTGAAAGGATGGCTGTCTGCATGTGTCTGGACCCCAGGCATCTCGTACTCTGGCATTCAGCTCCATGTTAGACCGAGCTGGGTCACTGTTGTGGCCCTGCTGGGAGCTTCCAGCCCTGAGCAGAATTCGTTCAGGGGTCACAGGGTGGTGAGGACCTCGCTTTCTTACCCTCTCTCGGACTGCCTTCTCACTCCGGCTGAGTACTGAGTGTTTGATGTCATTTTTAGTCTTCTTATCTTTTAATAAGATGAAGGACATTCTCATATTTCATGCAGTAACATTCATCTGCTGTACTTCTATAATAAGGGTTCCCACTTTAAGCCAAAAGTCTAATTCGCCAGCATCCAATGAATGAAAAATAACAGGCAATTGTTGTGCTTATTAATAATTTCATATTTAAAAACATAATAGCTTGAATATCATTTCATTATTAGCCACTTTGAGAGCAGCAATAGGTAATTTACCTAAGATATGAAGGGTACTTGGCTGCGATGTGCCACCTCTACCATATTTGATAGCACAATAGTTGTTTTACAAACTTTGCATTTAGCTTTTCTGTCATTACATTTAAACATGCAGTCTTTGAAGTGGTTATTTTTTAAGCCAGATGTCTTAAATTATATGATATCCTGGCATGTTAGCCTTAGTATAGGGTACAGTCTGGAGCGATTACCAGTTAATGAGTGTGGGGGAAAAAAACTGAGAATAAAAACAGCCAAACCTTAGCAATAGGTGTGAAACAGTACGATATTTAAAAAAAATATATATGGTAGAGAAAAGGTTTTAGTGACAAAAAACTTAGATATAAATATAATACATTTCCCCAACTTACAGTGTGTGGAATAAAGTTTTAAAATATCCATGAGATTCCAGAAGTTCTGTGACCAGTGGGAACCCTGTGTAATGTTCTAAATATTGAAGCATTTAAATTGGGGTTACTTTCTTACCCGAGCTGCTGGTAGCAGTGCTTGGTGTGTGGCTGACTCTGTTTTGAAAGCCCTTGTATCCACTGACAGGCTTGCCTGCTGAGAGAACAGATCGGGGTCTGGTGATGAACTCAGACTGGAGGTTGATGGAGGTCCTGCTGTGACTATAAGCCTGGAGCTTACTCCACATCGCCGCCCTTGTGGACTCCCGCTGAGCAACTTAAAATACAAAAAAAGCAGTGAAATGTCAACTCAGTCATCTGTTTTCCTAAGGCCTTTTATTACTCTTATTGCATTTTTTTATTTTTTGTTTACTTTATTTTTTAACTCAAACTCCCCCCCCCCTTTCTTTTTTTAAATCAACTGCAAACTTACATTTACATTTGCCCCTATCTAACATCCAGTGCACTGATCCAAGTCATTGGCCAATACTTTTTCCATGCCAGTGGTGTTTTACTCAGTTGATTGTCAGTATATAAAAGAAAACAAATATTTTCTTGTCAGAAAAAGTAAGTAAAGGATAAGGACCACACTTACAAATAATGTTGTAAAGGATATTTCACCCAAATATATAATTTCCTCACTGTCCACTTGCTCCAAACATGTAAATTAATGTGTGAAATTATGAAAAATGCTGCTAACCATACAGTTGATTTTAACCATTGACCTCCATAGCACATCATGATTTTGCCAAGTACGATACAATCCTGGAACATCATTTTTGTTCAGAAACGTAATCCACACCCATTCCTTACCCCTAAACTCAACCATAACTGGTATTCCCAAAATCAGAGGGGAATTATATTTAGAAAACAATCATGTAGAAGTGCATAACATAACAGGGTATATGAAGGAATCCTAATGGAAATTTTAATACCTTTTAAAGAGTTTTTAAAGACCTTCTCAGGATTTTTAAAGACTTTCTTCACTTCAAGTTCTAATCAGAATCAAACCTTTAACTTAATAAAAGGTTGTTAATAAACAGTTGTAGTTAAATAAATCAATAAAGCACAACCATGCAACAGAACTCAGATAAGATTGGAAAAGACAAAGCTTGAAAGAATCAATTACGTGGTTGTTCTCAGCAACAGGCTTCAGCCTGATAATTATTTTTTTTTTGTCATTTGCCTTTTATTTTGACAGGATAGTAGGTTGACAGGAAGTGAAGTGGGAGAGAGGGGGGGTGGGTAGGATCGGGAAAGGTCAGCGAGTCGGGATTCGAACTCGGGACACCCGTAGCGCTGTCTGTCGCACTATATATAAGTGCACTAACCACTAGGCTATCGCACCGACAGGCTTCGGCATCAGTTTAAACTTGTCTTTCTACAACCAGAAATATGCAAACTTACATTTTCCAATTTTGCTCTGTTTCGCTCTTTGGTTTCACTACATGTGGAGAGCGTCACATCACCTTAAGTAGCTTGGCCATACGCACTCCGGCCCAAACTAATTGCATGGATTGAGTACACTAAATATTAAACCAAATATATAATATGTATTTTTGCTTTTTTGGAGTTTTTACTTTATTTATTTATTTTTTTTAACTCAAACTCCCCTTTCTTTTTTTAAATCAACTGCAAGCAACTGCAACCAAATATATAATATGTATTTTTGCTTTTTTGGAGTCAAACACTTTGAACAACACGTGAACAAAACTTCAGACTTTTTAAAACCTTTTAAGGACCTTAATTTTCTCATAACTGATTTATTAACTTTTAATACTTTTTAAGACCCCGTGGACACCCTGCATAAATGGAAAAGGTATTTCTTAATTATGATTGGCTGATTGGATTGTTGTTTCAGGATCAACACAGATGTTGATCCAGCAACATTGTCTAGTTGTTGAAATCAGGTTAGGAGAATTGTATAGTGGGAAAATTATATACGGCAACACAGTGGCACAGTAGGTGGTGCTGTTGCCTCACAACAAGAAGGTCGCTGAATCGCTGGTTTGATTCTTGACTCAGTTGGCGTTTCTGTGTGGAGTTTGCATGTTTTCCCTGCTTTCGCGTGGGTATCCTCCGGGTGCTCCGGTTTCCCCCAAAGTCCAAAGACATGCGGTACAGGTAAATTATGTAGGCTAAATTGTCTGTAGTGTATGAGTGTGAGTGTGAATGTGTGTGTGGATGTTTCCCAGAGATGGGTTGCGGCTGGAAGGGCATCTGCTGCGTAAAAATGTGCTGGATAAGTTGGCGGTTCATTCCGCTGTGGCGACCCTGGATTAATAAAGGGACTAATCTGACAAGAAAATGAATGAATGAAAATTATATACTGTTGATATCAGTTGTTCCTACAACCAGTTTGGTTGCCAACATTTTTCAAAATTATATCAGCACAATAAGGGTTGGTAGTCACATAAAATGTTTTTGTAAGAAAAAAAAATAAATAAATTCAGTTAAATAAAAAAACAAATACTAAACTTTTCAGATTTCATTTTTATTTCTATTTTTAAATATATAATTAAACAATAATAAATGTAATTTTGAATATTCTGTCTTCCCCTTGTAGAAGACTAATTGCTAGGGGTGTAAATGACCAATATGATCATCGAGTGAACTGACTTGTAAATAGGAATATCTCAAAAATCTTTCCGGAAACATGACGATACCAGAATATTTCATCCTTTAAACAATATAATTGTAAGTGACATAAGCCCATGACATGACAAAATGATCTAAAGTCCACATAATCTGGAAACAAATGCAGATTTTTTTTTTGTCAGCATGATTATGTATTTCGAACTGCGACAGAATACACTATAGTGACTTCAAGCAGTGGATTAACTTGCAGAGTTAAATGTTCACCTTAAGACTAACCATGATCACTAGCAAAAACATTGAATTTGCACTTATTGTCCACTGTTATCCAGCATTAGAAACTGCATTCTGTGAAATAAATTTGACAGACTATAGGCCTTTTGAAACAGACTATAGGCCTACCTTGTGCATGCTGCATATTTGTAGTTGAGAGGTTTTTAGAATGATGTGGATGACTTTTTAGGCCGGATGAGCCCCCTTGAGTCGCCCGCTCAGTGCTCCTTGGCACATTCTTAGGGGAGACGTGGAACTGCTCAGTTAAATCCCTCACAGCTCTGGCAGAGTAGTCCCACTGAACCTCAGCAAACTGAAGCATCAGAACACTGCCTCTGGTGTTTACAACCACACTGAGGAGCATGACAGAAATCATCCATCAAGCCATATTACAACATCTTTTTCCAATTGCATAACATTAGAAGAAAGAACAGCATCATAAAATTGTGTTTATAAAACTGAGTAATATATCCGGACACAGGGTAAACTCACGTGTTGTGGTGCGTGTGCAGAGAAAGCACGGGGCATTGCTTCATGTTTGTCTTGATAACTCTCAGGCAATCTCCATTAAGAAAGTTGAAGATCCGGATCTTTCCATCCATGCAACCGGTAATGATTCGCAGGAACAGAAAAGACATTGCCAACACCTCTCTAAGAATCATAATAGAGGCATAATTATTAACTATATTAAACATTACTGATGACAATTAGCTTTTTGGTCACTGATGCTTTGGTCACTTTGGATGCTGGAAGGTCCGCAGGCACTTCTTAAAGCTACTATTAATGCTCCAGGCCTTGACGACACCATCTGAACCTCCAGACAGGATATGCCACTGATCGAAGCACAAACACAACACTGCCCCCTGGTGGCCACTGATTTGCTATGAAGAGAAAGATATAAGAACTTAAAAGTTGTTCCATAGAAAAAATGGTAATTCGTCTGAAGAGTGACATTGTTTTAGGATTAATGCTACTTTGCTAAGATCAAAAAGCATTTGCTTGTGCATAAGATCACTGATCATCTCTCACCCTTATAAGCAATGCTGTCTGGATGCTCCATATCCTGATCTGACCTCCAGAACAACTGCTGATCACCAGCGTTTCACTCATCTTCACGCACATGATTGGTTTAGGGTGTTTAAACTTCAGATTCTCAACACACTTTCCAGTCTGTAGATTCCACACTGTGATGAATATAGACACACAATATTTACAGTTATTAGTCGTCCTGAATTATTGGCCCCCCTGTATATTTTTTTTCCTAATTTCTGTTTAACAGAAAGATTTTTTTAGCACATTTCTAACCATAGTTTTAATAACTAATTTCTAAAGAACTGATTTCTTTTATCTTTGACATGATGACAGTACAAAATATTTCACTAGATATTTTTCAAGACACTAGTATTTTGCTTAAAGTGCAATTTAAAGGCTTGACTAGGTTAATTAGGCACATTAGGATATTTAGGGAAGTCATTGTATAACGATGGTTTGTTCTGTAGAAAATGAAAAATAAATATTGCTTAAGGGGGCTAATAATATTGATGTTAAAGTGTTTATAAAAAATTCTAAACTGCTTTTATCTAGCTGAAATAAAACAAATGTGACTTTCTCCAGAAGAAAAATTATTAAAGGAAATACTGTGAAAAAATCTTGGCTTTGTTTAACATTGTTTGGAAAATGTTTGAAAAAGAAAAAAAATTCACAGAAGGGCTAATAACTTTGGTTTCACTGTATAGAATGCATCCTTAAATTATTGACAGACACTTTTTCCAAATTTTGTTAAGTGACAGCCTTATTCCAAAATGCTATAAATACATTATTTTTACCAGAATTCTATAAACAATACCCCATAATGACATTGTGAAAGTTGCTTCTTTAAATTCAGTTTCAGTTCATATTATAACTGTTACAGTTTTATCCTCTTTAATATTATCATATTAGCTATGAACTTCTAAAATTGACTTTTATTGTGCCTGGTGTGAATTTCCTGTAAAAAGCATCATTCAAATCAAAGCCACTTACCTTTAACTCTACAGTCTTTGGCTCCAGAGACCAGCCTATCTCCAACCAAATCAAGGCAGTTTATAGTCCCAAAATGTCCATGAAAAATCATCATACACATGCCTGTTTTCAGGTTCCAGCACCTTCAAAAGCAGTAGAGAATTAAAGCACAATATTCTTTATTGCCAACACTGTAAAAATGCTGGGTTCCACACAATTTCTACATGTTGTCCTAACACAATTGATTAAGTTATCTGATTCATTTTTACAAATTTAAGTGAATTAAAATTTTAAGCCCCCCAACCCCCCAAAACAAACAAAAAAAACCTAACAATGGTGTTTTTATCTCATTCATTCATTTTCTTTTCAGCTTAGTCACTTTATTAAATAGGGTCGCCACAGCTGATGAATGGCCAACTTATTCAGCATATGTTTTGTGCAGCAGATGCCATTTCAGCTGCAACCCATCACTGGGAAACACCCATACAGTACGTTCATTCAGACACATACACTACAGAGAATTTAACTTATCCAATTCACCAATAGTGCATGTCTTTGGACTGTGGGGGAAACCAGAGGACCCAGAGGAAACTTTTGCAAACACGGGGAGAACATAAAAACTCTGCACAGAAAAGCCAACTGGTCCTCGCTCAAACCAGCAACCTTCTTGCTGTGAAGCGACAGGGCAACCCACTGTGCCATCTTGTTTCAACTAATTTTAAAGTAATTTAAACATTTTAAGTAGTTTGAACGAGCAGCAAAAGTCATTGTTTGAGTGATCTATCATCTTAATTTTTGAAACAGCATAATAATGTCTGACTAACCTGATACTGAGATCATAGCTGGCGCTGATAACCAGGTCTTTCTCTTCACAAACAAGGACTGCTCTTACACTACCTGAATGTCCTTGAATTACTAGAGGAAGCTCTTTCAGTGATCCGATATGCAGCAACCTGATGGTTCGATCCCTGGAGCCAACAGCCACCAACTGCCCTCCAGCATAATGCATCACTCTACTGCCATCTTCTCTATATAGAGGTCATGGATGAAAATGCTTTGTATGCCAAACAATTTTGAGAGGTATATTTAGAATGACGTTAGATAGCATATTAAAAGACGCTAGAGCACAACAGTGCAGCACCAAAACAATAAATTAATTGTTATTTTGAATCTTTATACTATATATATATATATATATACATTATATATATATATATATATATATATATATATATATATATATATATATATATATATATATATATATATATATATATATATAGTATTTGTAGATTCATTTGATAGTAATAAGCAATATTTAATTAAGTTACATATTTAAGTAATTTTGCTATCGTACATTCTACCAAGTTCTTAAAAGAAATTCTACCTTTCTAACAGGACAGAGGTGTTATACACTCCACAGTATACATTGCGTTCTTCTAACTGGATTTTTTCAGTTTTAAAGCCTTTATAGAGAGAATCCAAAACCTGCCCTTGAGACTAGAAACACAAGAATAAGCAAAATGAACATGATGTTATAACACATTATTACATTTTAGTTTTAGTGCAGAATACAGTAGATTACTTTCATTACCTGTGTATGTCTAGGTGAAGTACCTCCATGCTGAAAGTGCTTGTCCCCTTCACTGATGGGGACTAAAACCTCACAGATCTTAGCATATACAGGGTTGACCTTAGATGTTGAGTTACCCTGAAAATGAATACAGATGACCAGGTTTTAAATACTGCAATCATAATGGTAAACTACTTTCAGCTGACAAAACTAACTCATCACAATACACACATTTTTATTAGGTGCTTTTGCTGTAAATCACTTAATATTACGTTTAAACATTATTGCTAATACCATGTTTTAACAGCTGAACTGCAGGTTCTATTTGATCATTATAGATTCTATAAAAAAAAAAAGACGTATTACCTGGAAAATCATGGCCTGTTTCTTAACCCTCTTCTTTACTTCCATCTCGGTTAAGATCTCCTCAGTTAGGGACTGCCAGTGTTTTGACACACGCCTGCAGCTGGACAGCGAGACCTTATCCAATTGCCCTAGTTTCAGGAGTGACATCTGCATTTAAATAGTGTTGTGCTTCAATTATTTTTAGCTGCATTTATTTATTTATTTATTATTTTTAAAAAGCCTAATTTAAACTTTTAGTGTTGCCATGTCCATTTATATTAAGAAACTATTATTAAGCATTTCAGGGCTCACGCTATGCAATTTATTGAGTAAATACACTAGGATGCATTTTGTAATATTTTGGTAACGTCTGTGGCTTTTTTCCAAGATACAGCATCAGAGTTTATGTAAGAATTGGAAACAGGAATAAGTGAAAATATACCATGTTCACTGTTATTTCATGCACTGCAAATAGTCTACTGTATATAAGAAATATTCTTATTTAATGTGTTTACGTAATGAGCAGATCTGCAGTTTAGGGTGTTCATTTTGGTGCAAAATTTGATTGTTGCTCCCATACTAACCCTAACCTAAGCCATTAGACAGTTAAATAAGGCACAGACTAAAGCAGAGGTGTTTCTGTCTCTTGTAGTTTAATTTTATATATCATTCGGACTATTTATTATTATAGTTTTTTTGCTTTTTTTTTTGGTTGTTCATTTATCTTACAGAATAGATGGTTTATTTGTTTAATTCATATATATATATATATATATATATATATATATATATATATATATTGAGCTGAGGACTAGACACCTGAAAACTTGTGTTTTGTGCATCTAATGTTTTATACTTATACTTTTATGGTGCCTGTTTGTTGTTATTATATGTAAAATTTTGTGTCTTGAATGAGGACTCTTGACTGCAAAACAAATCTACCTTTTGGTTTCAACAAAGTAACCTAACCTAATAAATTGCCTAACTGTGTGTGTGTGTGTGTGTGTGTGTGTGTGTGTGTGTGTGTGTGTGTGTGTGTGTGTGTGTGTGTGTGTGTGTGTGTGTGCGTGTGTGTGTGTGTGTGTGTAGAAAACAGGATTAAGAACTACGGTGAACTGACAACTAAAATTTGACAGTATGTGGCCTACATAGTATTTGGGCAATGTAACTAGAGGTATTTGGACCCAAAAACTGTGATATGAGTTTACATGAGTTAACAAGATAGTTAGTTAGATAGTTAGATCTTACAGTCAGATAGTTATGTCTGTGCTTTGAGAAAACTTGACTTACCCAAAGTCATCTTTGCGATGTTGACTGGCAGCCTTCGAATGAAATCTATGTGACAGCTGACCCCCGACAGGGATTTTGATGACCTGGGAACGACGGTGAGGGCAGGATCAGGACCATCACAACTGTCTGAGTCCAGCTCAACCTGATTACAGATACTCTTCAGAGATTTGGAGTCCTTTACTGAATGAATGAATGAATGAATGAATGAATGAATGAATGAATGAATGAATGAATGAATGAATGAACGAAGCAGATCCAACCACTTTTAAAAATACTTCTTTTTAAAATAAATATAAAGTATCTAATCATTTAAATAATAAATGGGAATGTTTAAAAGAGAATTAAACAATACTCCTGTTTTACTCAGTTTTGAAAAAAAAAAAAAAAACATAATATTTTTTTTACTAATGTAACCCCGCCAGTCCTACGCCACCAAACCCGGTCCGAGCTGGTGTCAAACCGGCGACCTTCCGCATGGGAGTCAGTTGCTCTAACAAGGAGACCATGGCATCTAGCATCTGTTGCTAGAGCACCTTTAGAGGTCAGAGGAGTGAGGTTTACCTGCACAGCAGTTACTAGCTGGCCTCCGTTACATTTACAACATTTGAACATATGCATAGTCTGTCCAAAAATCATATAAAGTAGATATTCTTATATTAAATATTATTTTTAAATAAAGTAAAAAAACAAAAAAAAAAAACAGAAATAATATGCAAAAAAGCTCACTACTCACTCAGTTTAGAATATTCCAAGGTATTATTTTGACCGCCCTGATGAGGCAGATCAAGTGATTCATATAAAGCACAAGCTTGGATGAGAGGATTCAGATCGGGATGCTCACCTGAACTGAACAAACAGCTTACAAAGAGCAACCAAATAAAATCTATAGTCAGGCAACATTTAATATTATTATTAATAGATTATGTTTACAAACTTTACTAAAAAAAAAACATTGGGATAAATATTAAGTTTTGTTTTACTATATCTGGTTCAACAAACTCTGATATAAACATACTTTATACAATATCTGTTGGGTTATATAGTTGTGCAGTATATACATTTTTGAGAAGTGGCTGTCGTTTATGCCACCACTGTAATATAACAGTACTTTTATTTATTTTTGTATTATTATTATATATATATATATATTTTTTTACAAAATGCACCTTTCAAACATTTTTATTCATGAGTTTTTGGTTGCTGAAAATATCTCAACATTTTTAAAATAAAATACATTTACTTGATCCCAAAATGACTTGGGGAATCGAATTATGCTCAAAATAAAGCGCATGCTTAAATTACAAAAATAACTGTTGGTTAGTTTTATTTGTTTTAAGAATTTGAAACATTATTATGATTCATTTATTTTCTAATATGCAAAAATCAATATGATACAGTTTTGCTTTTAAATAAAATAAACATACATTGATCTAAAAATATTTTAATATGTGTACTGGAAAATAAGTAAAGAATAATAAATATTTTTTTATTTAATATGCCTAACATTTAACAAAAATTATAAAGGTCCACACCATTTCTACCGTATTTAAATTGGTAATATGTTATGGCATTTATTATGACAACAGTGTATAGTTAGCAGTGATATGTGCATTCTTACCAGAATTACTGAATTGCAAAAATCTGTGTTTCTCCCAAATGATCAGGACACGCACAAGATTCCCTAGCATGTGCAAAAGATGGGTGTCACATAATGTCAAGAGCCCCAGCACATACTTAGACTTGGTCCAATCTGGGCTCTTCCTGAACCATTCCCACGTCTCCAGTACATCAAGTCCATGTATTTTTCCATCCGGACCTCCTCCATCCATGCTCCACATGGTGTCCTCTGGCAGGGCTCTGGACCTGGCATAAGTATAATCTTTCCCTGAAGTCACTTGCAAAACACTTTGAAGACTCTCTAGGATTTGAAGACTTTGGCACCGCACCAGGATACCAGTAATAAACCTCTTCCGAGAATCCCATCCAGCCTTGTTTATCCACTCAGCGATGTGGTGTAGTTGTTCAGAAAGGATACAAGTCTGACAGCGTCCACAAATGTTAAAATCTCCATCCTCTCCTCTACAAGACCATTCGAGTACTGAATCTCCAGCTTCACCCCTTAAACATTTTACCCCAGTCATCTTAATGATCTAAAAACCCACACAAATACGTGGTTTTTAAAACGGTGTATGGGTTAGGGATTATAAATAATGCAAATTGTTCGATTCAAGTGTCTTCAGACGTCAGTTTACGCCCTCCTAGAAACACTTCACACAAACTTACGACGCTTGTTGCCGAGCGACATCAACAAAAGCACTTCAGTTCACAAAATCACATACCACACCTTTCAAATACACTAATTAACAGACGTTTACAATGTTATCTACAAAGAAGTGTATTATAAAAAGACTATCATTCGGCAAAAAAATGCTTCCATGTAGTAAACGCTCTGAAGTTGTGGCAGTTTCAGTGAAACTTTGTGGTTGGTTTCCATAGTTTCTGCGGAGAGAGATTTGTCGGCGGCTGTGGATCAAGGCAAGGGGTGTGTGAGTGAATAAATATTAAAAATAATCTTGTTAATTATAATTTTACAATGCAAAAAAACGCATCAGTGTATTACTGTGGTTAATGGATGTATTGATTCACCACAATCACGTGAATCTTTTGAATCCCTGCTAAAAAGATTTATTCAGAGTTGATCATGGTGACAAACGAATCATTTTTGCTTTCTTTTTCTGTTAGAATGTTTCCTTCTTTTTATTGGTTGGCTACTCAGAAGAGAACATATGCCAGAACAATACTGTACATAATGTTTACTGTTAATTCCCAGTTTTAATTACAAGCAACGTTAAGTGAAGCAGTTAAACTCTGTAAATCAAATTAAGCATGCTTTCTTTATCGTGTGTCTACAACTTTTCGTCTTATATAACTTTTCGTATATAACTTTAACGTTATAGCTTTCGTCTTATTTTTAGTTTTTAAAATCCAACTGAATCATTCTCAATGTGTTCGTTAAAAAACCGAAACCATCTATCGTGTTCCTTTTAAAATTATTAAATTAGCATAGAATAAAAAACTTTGTATTGTCGTCATCAAACATTTTATTTATACATATTTGATAAATTAATTTTCCTAATATCCCCAAACTGAATCGACATGCTTGTGTAGTAGTTTCAGCCTATAGGCTATTCCTCACTCTAGAAAATGATTGGCTCCTGCAACTGTCAGTCTTCACAGCGAAAGCAATCACTAGAGAGAAGTTTGATGAAGGAAGAAAAAGCAAATGCAGCGCATCATAAATACAAAAAGGCGGTAATCTCGTCATAGTCTGTAGATGTACAGTAGTAAGAAAGACTTGAAAAATGGCAGGTTTTAATTATATTTGCATCACTGAAATGTGGTCATGTTCCTATATTTTGTCAAGTGACTTCGATTGATTCAGTTGACGTCTAGTGATTCAGATTTAGCGGCGCCTGTATGGTAAGATGCAAGCTTTCAGACGTTCAGAGACCACTGACCACAAGTATGAGCATCCTCTTGTGAGGGTCTTTCATCCCGTAATCCAGGGGTGTCCAAACTCGGTCTTGGAGGTCCGGTGTACAGCAGATTTTAGCTTCAACTTGGCTCAACACACCTGCATGTTTCTAAAAGAGCTTGTTAGCCCAGGTGTGTCTGATTGGGGTTGGAACTAAACTTTGCAGCACACCGGCCCTCCACGACCAAGTGTGGACAACCCTGCCGTAATCTATATGCTGTTAAAAATTATACTATAAATGTAACTAAAATATAATTTTTTAAAGCATTATTATACTTATCACATTATTTTAAACGAATGATTTATGATTGTGTGTTTATTTTATCCTACTGAATTTATTATTATTATTAATACTATTATTATTAATTTCATTCATTTATTTTCTTTTCGGCTTAGTCCCTTTATTAATCTGGGGTTTCCACAGCGGAATGAAACGCCAACTTATCAAGCACGTTTTTACACAGCGGATGCCTTTTCAGCAGCAACCCATCAATGGGAAAATTATTATTATTATGTTTTTTTTACTGTGCAATTTGCATTGTGTCTAGGATAGAGTAAATGCGCATCCAAATTAGCATCTTTCTCCAGCACCGAAGTTCTTCATATCGACCAGATGATGTCACTGTTACTCTTTCCACTACTGTGGAGACCACGTACAAATACCGTGAAAGCAATGTGAAGTAAATATATAGAGTGATTCAAAAAGAATACCACAACTTTGAAAATCTGTATTTAATATTTAACATGATGGAACCTTGGGTTATTAATGAATGTTAAGAATACTTAACAGAGTTATGTTTTAACAAGTTCATAGATGTTCAACATGACCCCCTCCAGACACTTGAGTGACATCAATCCGGAAGTTTTGGTTTTCTGTTTGAATCACAGCTGTATATTAAATTGATATAAAAACGAATAAAAAATATATAAATAAATAAAGTAATTTTAAAAATACTCTTTGCATTGCGGTGCAACTACAAACACTGTGAAAGCAATATGAAGTAAATATTATAATGTTATATTATTCATTTACATAATTTTCCTTCGGCTTAGTCCCTTTATTAATCAGAGGAATAATTACTGCCACAGCAGAATGAACCACCAACTTATCCAGCCTATGTTTTACGCAGAGGATTCCCTTTTAGCTGCAACCCATCACTGGGAAACATCCACACACTCATTCATATACTACGAACAATTTAGCTTACCCAATTCACCTATAGCGCATGTATTTTAGACTGTGGGGAAAACCGGAGCACCCGGAGGAAACCCACGCAGGGAGAACATGCACACTCCACACAGAAATGCCAACTGACCCAGTAGAGGCTCAAACCAGCAACCTTCTTGCTGTGAGGCGATCATGCTACCCACTGCGCCACCACGTCTATATTATATTATATTAATTATAATATTATAATTATATATATATATATATATTATATAATTATAATATATTATATTAATTATATTATATTAATTATATTATATTATATTATATTAATTATATTATATTATATTATATTATATTATATTATATTATATTATATTATATTATGCTAAAACTGTCCGTAGTTTACAGAATGTGTGTGAATAAGTGTGTATGGATGTTTCCCAGTAATAGTTTGCAGCTGGAAGGGCATCCGCTGCGTAAAACATATGCTGGATAAGTTGGCAGTTCATTCCGCTGTGGCGACCCCAGATTAACAAAGGGACTAGCTGAAAAGAAAATATTATATTATATTATATTATATTATATTATATTATATTATATTATATTATATTATATTATATTATATTATATTATATTATATTATATTATTTTACTTTTCTCTTAAATACATTTGATACACCACAGTTATTGTGTATTTAGGTTTTTTACTCTTGTACTTTTATTTATCAGTTACTGTAATTAATTTGTTTAGTTCTGTAATTACATGATTAACCCTCACCCCGAAGGGAAAATGTGTTTCAATGGGGATTTCCCATTTGCAAGTGCACTTTGAAACTATATGTTATTGGGTCAACTGAATAATTACAGTGACTAAAAGTTTCCAAACACTAACATCACAATGACTGCTGCGGGTCTGTCTGAAATGGAAATGATTCTTGCTGGCAAAATTATGCAATTATGATTCCACACATGCTGTACAGTATTTCCCCTGTTGGTAATACAGAGAATACAGACAGTACTTGATATAAACTGTAACTAAAAATTAAAAACTTTTATATTTCAGATATAAAATTAAATATAAATAAAACCTAAATATTACAGATATTTTTTTTATTCCAATAAAAACTACATTAGTGTCTTAATTAAACT